AGACTCTGATGGTGACATCGGCAATGGGGGTCTGGTGGCCGGGGGAGGAGGTAGGCAAAGGTGACTTTAATTTACCTGCACCTATGCCACACGGGCACCGCCATCATCTTCCAGTAGATCCTCTTCTGAGATGTTCTTTTGAAGTCAGGAGACAACTTTAGTGGTGAACTCTTGCGCATGCACAGCAGTACGTTTATGAAGGATCCAGCGAGACCGCAGAATTAATGTTTATGGAGGATCGAGCAATACCGCAAGATCCTCCATAGATAGACCCAATTCCCTGCAGCTGTCTGGTGACGGCTGGGGGATTGACGCTTCTTGATGGCAGTAGCGCCACCTAGTATCAAGAAGTGTTAGGTGTAGGAGAAATACTGAAACAAAGTAGCCCATACTATGTCTCAGTATATCTTTTGACTGGAATGGAATATTGGTTAAATTCCAACACAGTCAGTATTAGTGTTTCATAAAGATTTTATCTTTATGAAATACTCATTTTTCAGGGGTGGGTAGGGGGTGGGGGGGGGGTTGAGTGACAGAATGGGCAAGTTGAAATAGTGAGATGAAATATATATACTAACTGTAAACACAAACAAAAGCAGTAAAAGTGAATCCAAAATAAATACTCTCAGCAGAACAGTACATTAAAAATAAACACTTTTAGTACTCTAAGAACAAACATTAAAGACAAACACTCTTAGTACTTAGTACCAGCCTTCCTGAATTTTGTTACTTACAGCTGTCACTATAGCATTCCTATACCATATACACTGCCTTTTACACTTACAGCTGTAACTATAGCATTCCTATACCATATGCACTGCAGCTTATTACACTTACAGCTGTAACTATAGCATTCCTATACCATATGCACTGCCTTTTCCACTTACAGCTGTAACTATCGCATTCCTATACCATATGCACTGCCTTTTCCACTTACAGCTGTAACTATCGCATTCCTATACCATATGCACTGCCTTTTCCACTTACAGCTGTAACTATCGCATTCCTATACCATATGCACTGCCTTTTCCACTTACAGCTGTAACTATAGCATTCCTATACCATATGCACTGCCTTTTCCACTTACAGCTGTAACTATCGCATTCCTATACCATATGCACTGCCTTTTCCACTTACAGCTGTAACTATCGCATTCCTATACCATATGCACTGCCTTTTACATTTACAGCTGTAACTATCGCATTCCTATACCATATGCACTGCCTTTTCCACTTACAGCTGTAACTATAGCATTCCTATACCATATGCACTGCCTTTTCCACTTACAGCTGTAACTATCGCATTCCTGTACCATATGCACTGCCTTTTCCACTTACAGCTGTAACTATCGCATTCCTATACCATATGCACTGCCTTTTACATTTACAGCTGTAACTATAGCATTCCTATACCATATACATTGCCTTTTACACTTACATTCCTGTGCCATATCATCAACCTTTAAATGCTCTCTCATGGGTTTCTATGAGAGATCATGTGCACTGCTTCAGCTAGCTTTATTAATGATTTTTTTTAAAAAAAAAGGTAATCCGATAGAAGAACAGAAGAACAAGAAAATCGTAATTGACTGATAATTGTCCTATTGGAATAGAATGTTTGTTTCATAGTGTCAAGAAGCAAATACAATTACCAAATTCCAAAATAATGATGCCTTTCAGGTATCTCATGTAGCTCCTATCACTAATACAGAAATCAATGCAATCCCATCTGTTTGAAGTACATGTTACTGAAAATTAACGCAGTGGCTCCAAAACTTTCTCACTGATTATTCCGGACAATAAAGGTGAGGTTGCACTGATAGTGTTGCACACAGAATTATATAGGTATATACAGTTACACACAATCACATATTAGAAACGATAATGATGTCCAGTAACCAAACACAAGAGGTAACTCAAACATTACAATCACACACATCATTGTACAGCGCAGCTACATTCTGAATTTCTTTTATTTAGGCAGCGATGACACAAGATACAACTTTTCAGCCTAGGGCTTTACTCATGTATATAACACATATACTCCCATAAGTACACATATATATGTAGATTATATATATATATAAATATATATATATATATATATATATATATATTAAAAATGAAGATGTATATATTACATATGCAGTTATTAGCACATGTCACATCCATGGGCAGGCACCAATCACAAGGACATATTACACATGCATGCATTGTAATTATTTAGCTGTGGGCATGATAATATACTAGGGAAAGATTTTGGGTGGAGATTGTAACACATAGCAAAAAGGGCTCAATAAATCACTGATCAATGGAGGAAAGCTGATGGTTCACTACAACAGAATACCAGCATTAAAGGGACGCTACATCTCAGTGAAATGACCTGGGTGCAGTTGCCCTGTCCTTTTAACCCTGCAATGTAAAATATTGCATTTTTTTTTTTTAGAAAACTCTAATGTTTATATTGCAGGGTTCACCGCACATTAGCTCGCCATTGCTCCTCTATAACGTTGCAGAAAGTTGAGAGGTAAACAGCCCCAAGAGAGCCTCAGCACTGGAAAATGGTAAATTAAACATTTATTTTCTTTTTTTTAAGGTAGCGGGCCTTAATACAACTAGGGACAGGGACACAGGTTTTTATTCCTAACGTTATAATGTTCCTTTAATACCCGTGTTATCTCTAGCAATAGATTCGGATCAGCTGATAAAGCCAATATTAAACACATTCACAGGCATTATTACACGCTTAAGCATTTCTTCAGCCTGGAGGAAGAGGTGGAGACCAGATTGTTCCACATTCATCATTTTTTCTGCCGTTTTACTTCCTATATGTAACGTATTCTCGTCAGTAAAAGCGGTATTACATTTTACAATACAGTCTTCACTTTTTTGTATGTTTATAAACTTGTTTCTGGCTTTACATCTTTTGAGTCTTCTTGAAATCATATCTTTCATGTATGAAACAAATGGGGATTCAGTGTCCATAGGACTATACAGTGTCAAGCCGTCAAGCCCACCACTGTTGCAAAGTACTCCAATATAATGGATTTTAACTACAACTATATTTGCTCTAAGCAACTACGATGTCCCGTACTACAATTTAATTGCATTCAGGACACATCTAATGGGATAGCTTTGGTAGGGATCCCAACACAAAGAAACTGGTTGTGCCAACACAAAGAAACTGGTAAGGGCCAACAATATATACTATAATATTAGCATTTGAGAAGAAGTGCCCATAGCATGCATTATTTAATAGTTGTACTGCTGAAATGACATCATGTTATACAAAATATACAAACAGGGATTAGTGCACTCACAGAAAAATATGTATTGTATTTATATGTGCGCTGATTGCGGTTTGTGTATTTCGTATAAACTCAGATCTTATTAGCAGCACTTTTATTAATAAATACATTTTTGAATAAATGCTTTACATATTCTACTTTTCCTATGTACGTGTATCTTTCATTGGGTTATACGGGGCATTCTGTATTCTCAATACCTTTCATGTTCTACAAAGGACAGGAAATCAAACTAAAAAATTAGTGTGTGCAAAGATTTCACCACAGTTTAAAACCATAATTTAATGCCTTGAGGGTTTCAGACTTTGACACAGTTACACCCAGATATAACAGTCTGGCAGATCATTACTGGCACAGCTGACGTTCTCGCAGGAGACTGCATTTTGTCTCTTTTAAGCGTTAGATGATGCATAGACAGCAGATTGAGGTTTGGGGCGTTTTCCTTTAACGTTTTAAAAATAGAATGTGAAACCTACCAAAGGCAGAAATGAAAGAATGAAAAGATACATGTTGACAGCTGAAATTCCAACTGTATCTCAGTTTAAGCAGTTATCTTTTATCCCCTGCTGTGGTCATAGGTGAACACATAAGAGAAGTTGCCCTCAGCAAAATTGGCATCCTATCTGAGGACAAAATATATCACCTAATAAGCCGAGATTCATTACTTTCAAATGTGTCACAAATCTAAAATCAAAAATAGATTTTCATTTATAACGTTATCTGCTGTTGCTATGTTACTTCCTGACTAGGTTTTTAAAAAGCCTCTTCTGTCGGGGATCCTATGTATTTGTGTAAATCAAGGGCTTCTATTCAGGATGTCCATCTCGGTTATACTTGGAAGGGGGAGAGTTGAGTGATAGTATAATGACTCACGTGCCCTGACTGAGGCCAAGATTAATTAGCTTCTTCAGTCTTAATTGTTACTTTCCCCACCAGTAATTTTAATTTTTTTTAAATGTATTATATTTTTTATTTTTTACTGTGCGTAAGTGAACAAACATGATTGCAAGGCCACAACATCATTACCAAGCCTAGTAAAGACATATAGGAGCATACATTGGTATGCCATAGAAAGTGCACAGATTTTTTTTTTTTTTTTTTAAGTACAATAATACAAGGAGGAACTTGCTAGCCTACTAAACTGCTACTGTATTTGGTAGTAAATATATTCTAGGTTAGATAGATAGAGTTAAAATTAGTACAATATGATAAACTGTATATAGTGTAATGGAGTACAGTCGTTTGGCTTCACCTTGTGTTTTGGAAAATAATAAACAATAACAGGTTAGAAATAAAACACAGACTTTTAAATCCATATTATACAAGCTTAAGTTATATGAATAGCAGGCTGAAACAGGCTAGTTTGACATGTCTACGGTGAAGACAATACAAGCTTACAATAAAAATGATTATTGTGGAGAAACAAAAGTATGAATTAAGCAAACCTGAACTGACAGGAGTGTTCCCCTAGGACAGGGGTTCTCAACCAAGTCCTCAGGACCCCCTACTAGGATTTGGGGATTACCTGGGTGTGTCTCAGGTGTTTAGAAAAAGGGGAAAAAAAACACCTTAGACTCTAAGGTGTTTTTTTTTCCTTTTTCTAAACACCTTAGACACACCCAGGTAATCCCTAAACCCTGGACTGGTAAGGGGTCCTGAGGACTAACGTTGAGAAGCCCTGCCCTAGGAGGTCCCCAACTGATTAAAAGCATAACATGGTGTATAAGGTTAACTAAAACTCAAAGGTGGCAGAAGGGGGTGCTTGCATTTTATGCAGTAGCCCTGATATCTCCCCACTTAAGCAATATTGAGAGGTTAGAATGGATGGCCACAGATCCCTTCTGGCCCTTCCCGGGAGCTCATGTCAGCCTATGCCAACCAGGGGTATAACACAGTCCTGCAACATGGGAGAATACAGCAGGCTTTCAAGTCTCGAGGTGCATCAGCTAGGCAGGCTGTTTGTCACAGTCGGGGTTCCCTCCTGTACCTCATAAGAGGTAAGAGTTCCAGCACTAGGTCTAGGTCACAGCTGTTCTCGCCGTCCGGCTGCCTTTCGTTGGCATGATGAATGATTCCCTTTTCGTCACTATTTTGGGGCCTTTTGTATTGCTGGAAGCCCTGGGCTTCTGTTGTGGGATTTGCTTTAGCTTCCGAGGTAAGAGGCCACTCGGCTCTGGCAGCGCCGCCCACCTTATCTTACTCTCCTGTTTCTGCCAGAATTTGTAAAAAATCTCATCTAGCTTAGACAGGGTATTACGCTTTTCTGCGGTGTTGCTGGGGTTCCTCATGGCGTCCGCCATGTCAGGTGCATTGCCAACCTCCCTTGCGGCTTCACCCCGGCTGTTGTATGGTCAGTGTAGCCTCCCAGGGGTGGACCGGGATCACAAAGGGGGAGGGCAGCAGGGCGCTTGAACGCTGCTGATTGCGGCTGGGCTTCTCCGACCAGGAGAACGGCCGCCTCTAACATCTGGCGCGCACCAGGCCGCATGATTCCAATGGTGCAACAAACAAGTCTCAAATAACTCTCCTACTCCCGCAGTGCACACCAGCCAAGTTAGAGATCAGGTAACTCGCTATAATAGGTTTTAAACAAGTTTGATGTGGCTGTAAGCCACTGTTATAGGTTATACAGGAGGGGAGCACATTCAAAGCATGTCTCTCCACCATGACAGTCAGGCCCCACCCCACCCCCAATTTTTGAGATTTAACACCATTAAGTGATAATGTCCTTTTTGTTACAGAATTATTACATGTGAATTTTGACAATGAAAACTTATGTGCAATGCAACTCATTGCAAATTTGCAGGTAAATGTAACAAACAATAATACTCAGAACTATAGAAAATATAGATAACCTTTTGTGGATATAATATGTGAAATCTGTCACATATGTTTGCCAATAGTTCAGGATTACATCACCGTGCATTATTCAGTGATGTTTAACACACTGTCAAGGGTCAAGTCTTGAGGAAAAAAAAAGAGTTGGAACTCACCCAAGATTTCCAACCCTAAAAAAAAATGAATATGTGTATATATACTTCCTCAGAAAATACAGTGCATCATTTATTGTAAAGGGACTGTGGGGAAAAGAAAAGGGTCGGCAAGCAGTGGTAGATATGGGGTAATGTCTGCAAGGCTTCCCACAAGGCCAGCCCATAGTCCATCCACAGGACCCGCCACCCATTCTACCACCATCCCACAGGCGATGAGGTAGGCGATATAGTGTGTGTTTAGGGAATGTAATGTATATGTAAAGAGAATCCAGTGTTTGTTGCTAATGTAGTATAGTGTATGCAGTGTGCATAGTCAAGGCCATTGTTAAAGTGGGACAAACGGTCACCGGAATTCCCATAGTAAAGCACTAGATAATGCTTTCCAAAGGGGAGGTCTAATGCGTCGCCGGAGCATGGACGGAGTCTGACCCAGCGCCGAGGGATATCGGCGCTGGATTCTGGTAAGTCACTGAAGGGGTTTTAACCCCTTCAGTAACATAGGATGAGGAGTGGAAGGGACGGGGGCACTGTGGGATTCTGCAGTGCCAGGAAAACGGATATGTTTTCCTGGCACTGGAGAGTCCCTTTAAGCATGCTATTGTTGTATCCATCTTAAAAAAGCCAGGTCTTGACCCAACATCCCCTTACAACTATTGTCCCATATCCCTGCTCCCTTTTTCATCAAAGTTTCTGGATAGACTTGTCTTTACCCATCTGTAACGGAGCTCCTTGTACTCCAACTGAGTACCCTCCGTTGACGGATGCTCCTAGCGCTTCCTGAGGACTCAAAGCAGTGCAGCAGACACCACAACCGCCGCAGACTTCGCAACCGCTGTATCTTGACTGGAGTCTCGCCATCTTCCTTCCACCCTGGATCAGCTTCTGTCCTCCAGGACTGTGTGGGAAAGAACTCTTCCTTCCACCCTGTATGAACCTCCAGCATCCAGGACTGTGTGGTGAAGACCCCTCCTCCAAGGAGAGCGTGTCAGGTGATTCAAGCTCAGGGGAGCATGCAGAGCATAGCAATCCCCAGTGTGATTATAACAGCTCCCTCCAATAACGAGACAAGGCTATGTTTAGAGGGATCAAGAAGAACTGTCAAAACCTTTATTTCCCTTGGGACCAGCCAATAGGGTCACCACAATAACATTGTTGTGAAACCTCAATAAAATCACAAACAGTCAAACCATATCAAGCAACACACAGTGACTTATCACAACACAATAGCACATTTTTAAAGGGGTGGGGGGAGACAATATTTAACAGTAAATATCTCACCTGCCTGCAGAATTAGCAATATGCAAATCTACCCGAATATGCAAATGAACCAGTCTTGCAATTCAGGTAGTGCATATTGCTGTTGCTACCAACAGAGGGCACTAGACAAGCTCCATAGCCAAACCCACCTAGTTGGTAGCAAACCTCAGCAATACAAGAGAGCAGACAATACATTACACAGTACACACACACACACACACACACTGTAAACAATTACATTACACACACCCTGCACCTATAATGGGTACAGGGTGACTAAAACATAAGATAAATAAAGCAGCCTACATAAATAGTCTGTCTGAAGGTAGACTAGGGGCTTTAAAGCCAGATACATGAAAGAGTCATAGTCATAGGGGAGGAGGCTGGCAAGTAGGCCTCTCCAGGACCAAGTGGCGAAGGGCACTTCGTCACACCATCTGACTTGCTTCCTCAATTCCAACTCTCTCCTCGACCCTCTTCAGTCTGGATTCCGTCCCTCCCACTTCACAGAGACCACTCTGATTAAAGTTACAAATGATCTAATTGTGGCTAAATCCAAAAGCCACTACTCCATACTAATTCTTCTCGACCTCTCTGCTGCCTTTGACACTGTTGATCATGGCCTCCTTCTCCAAACTCTTCAATCTCTTGGTGTCTGTGACACAGCCCTCTTATGGTTCTCCTCCTATCTCTCCCAATGTTCATTCAGTGTCTCCTTTTCCAATGACACCTCTTCCCCTCATCCTGTCTCAGCTGGAGTCCCTCAAGGTTCGGTTCTTGATCCCCTTTTAGTCTCTCTCTATACTGCCTCTCTTGGCAAACTCATTAATTCATTTGGATTCCACTACCACCTGGACGCTGAGGATACCCAAATATATCTCTCCTTCCCTGACCTGTCCCCTACTGTCCAACAATGTGTCACCAATTGCCTTTCTTCAGTCTATGACTGGATGTCCTCCTGCTTTCTGAAACCCAATCTCTCTAAAACTGAGCTCCTTGTCTTCCCTCCTCTTAATACCGATCCTCCTATTTCACCCTCCCTTCAAGTTAGTGGTACACACATTAGCCCATCCTTGCAAGCACGCTGTCCTGGCATTATACTTGACTCTGACCTCACCTTTGAGCCTCACATTTAGTCTGTCACCAAGTCCTGTCGATTACACCTTAAAAACATTGCCTGCATCCGCCCCTTTCTTACGCAAGATACTACTAAGGAGCTTGTCCATACTCTAGTAAAACAAAAGGAATGGTGTGGTATGCTATGCAAACATTTGTGAAGATCACCGATTAGATAGTATACATACACTGGTTACAAGTCCCCAGAGATATACTGGTATAATAATAACATAAACATAAAACAAAACATAGTGTAAAACCGTATAATACAAAGATAAAAGATAAGGTAATTATTGCACTCACAAACACTCTGCAACGAATAGTGGCCAGAAGAGCAGGTAAAAAGGTCAAATAGACCTGTTACAGAGGGACTCCAAGATGTTCTCAGTCAACTCCTAATTACACCCAGGTTCCGGATCCCAAAGAGTAATGGAGGAGTGAGTTCTGGATGTGGACGTCCCAAATAAAGTGAGTGGAAAATTCTGGCTCCAGATATGTCCAACCGGTTTCGTCCTCAGGACTTTCTCAAGATAGAGCTTGGATACAGTCCTCACCATTTAAGCCTATGAACCCAGCCAATCAGTGTACAAATGGGTTCCCCACGTGGTTTGATCCCAATCAGGTGTGTATAGAATCAAACTATCACCAAAGTAATGGCCATCAGTATCATATATGGCGACCATTATGAGCAGCCATTAGGTTATGCCATCTGGGTTATCAATTCAGTGACTAACCCTAAAATTCATAAATCCATCAAATAGGGGAAAAAACATAATCAAGAAAATCATAATAAGACTGATGTCGGTCTCTGGTATCCACACTGGCAACCCATTCGTAGACACCAAGAAAATGGCTGCAAGAAAATGCAGCGGTGACCAAAAGATTGTGCATGCGCGAGAACTTAGAAAATAGAAATGTGGGGGGCGTGGTCTAGATGCCGACCAAGATGGCCGCGTAGTTCCAGAGCTCCACACAATCCACTCACAATCCAGCACCAGCCACGAGCATCGAGACCCAGATTGTCAGGCTCACACTCCGGAGCCAAACAGAGCACACACAAAAAAAAAGGAGATAGAAGGGAAACCGCCAGGACAGTGGCCGAAATGCTGACAACACCACGAGGCAGACAGACCACTCAAGATGGCCGCCAGCACAGCCCTCATGGCTCCCTATCCCCAGCATCCACAACGGGCAGTGACATACCCGAATTTCAAACATCCTAACAAAACTGCTGGAGGTCAGAAATTTCCTAGCCAATGAAATCTCCAACAGTACAAAAGAGGTAAAGGCAGAAATTCAAGTGCTGGGCGCTCGGACGGCGGCCATAGAAGACAAAATGGAGCAAGTCACACGCGCCCACAAAACGGTGGTGACACACTCCAGGACCATGGAGCAACAAATTACCGAACTTGAAATGATGGTAGAAGACCTAGCCAACCGCTGTAGGCGCAATAACGTGAGGCTCCGAGGACTCCCCGAATCTCCAAACAAGGGGGACCTGGTGGACAAAATGAAGCATTATTTCAAGCACCTAATCCCAGGCATTCCAGACGAACATCCAAGTGGAGCCGCCGCCAGGCTTCACCCTGACCCAAGAGACCTCAACGCTGTCCCCTGCCCAGCAATCGACCGCAGCTCCAAACC